CTATCAAATTTAATTCTGTTGCAATACGATTATCGATTAATAATAATTACAACTGAACGAGATTTATAATATAATACATGTAACTGTTTTGAAACAATCGTGAATCACATAGGCGTAACTTATGTATAAAAATATGCAACAGAATCTTCTTTTCTTTCTACGAACAACAAACATATCAACCACGTGTAGTCATTGTTCCATCATTATCAAACGCTTTCAATGCGCATTCATTCGTACATTTTCTCGAATTCGTAGTAAATTTTTCTTAAATATCGGTATTTAAAAATCGTGTTTGTTCTTTTACTTTTATTACATTAAATAGTATTGTTCAGCACACACTCACTTGTTACCCACAACAGAAGTTTTAATTCTATTAAAATCGCATAACAGACAAACAATTACAACGTTTCGGGCTTACCTCCTTAACAAGAATGTTATATTGTAATCTTGGCTTTAAAAAGTATATAATGACGTATATCCATTTTGATGGTAGTCGTGGTACATGTGGGGGAAATTGCAGATCAAAAGATACGGTAGTCTCTGTAACAGAATGTTTCTCATTGAGACGTGCAGGAAAGAAGTAACGTAGACGACTGCTAATTCAGTCCTGCATTTCTTCTGGTATGTCGTGCGGATTAAGTAGTCCCGGAACAGCCATTTGTTGTCGTCTTTTCTCTTCCTGAGCCAATCGCAATGCATTTTCCCGCTCTTCCAAATAGAGATCGGAATCATCCTCACCGGTATACTCCTGCGAAAACAAATTTCAGTATAGCATTATTCTGTTCAACGCCAGCGAGAAATACTCTAAACAGCATTATAAATAAACAGCTTACTCTAATTTGAACAAGGAAATCTCTGAGATGTTCCTTGAATGCTGGGATATTTTGGTTAAGATTAAATAAACCTTGTACAGTGATTTTAATCTGATTATCAGTCAAATGTGGAAATGCTGCTTTAAGCAACCTTGCAACGAATTCTTGAACGTATAATACATTGTCTGGTATAGGTCCCAATGGCACCTGAATTCGTCCGAGTTCAACCAATGAGAACATGTATGCCAGGATAGTGGCATGCATAGTAAGGCCTAGACATTCCGGATAGTCGAATTAGTCGCATGAAAGCATAACGATATTCCATGTGATAAAACTATTCATGCAGTTATACCTGCTATATGAGATGAATCTGTGACTACGCTAAATATGTGTTGAAGAATATCTGTGAAATATGTTCGATAAAAGTTCTGAGCTGCCGGCTCGCTCTCAACATTTTGTAAAAGTTGATAAAGTATTTGCAACCCTGTATCTGCAACGTTTCTCATCGTGTGTTTGAAAGCCCAAATTATCGAGTCGAGAACGAGTTTGAACTGTGCTGGCCGAATTACAAGAAACGCAGGGAAACAGTACATATTTACAGCCTATAACAGGAAAACAAAATTAAATGTCATACATAATAATAAAACAGAAAATGGCGATATCGAAGGTTAGACTCTCGGCACAGATACCTGTAGAAGTAAAAAGAAGTTCGTTCTATGCTCTGGAAATTCTTCAAAATCTTTGTTAATCATTTCTAGAGTACACTCGAACACAGCATCAAATATTTTCGGTATTTCACACGTAATGTAATCCTCTAATTTATTTACGATAATGGCCATAGCAGTCAACACCTCTGGTTCTCGAGCGCAATGGACATTCGTTTTTTGATAATCCAACAACACAGCATCTAATAGCGGTGGTATAAAGTTCTCGGAAACCTGTAATTGCGAACAGCATATTGATTTAATATAGCAATAATTTGATCGTAACGACTATATTCGCAACAAATGATGAAACAAAGCTTGCCATTTGTTCGTCGGTCGTTCTGCTGATCCAATCTGAGATCAATTTTAATGTTTCCTTTTTCACTACTCTCATACTCTTAATTAAAGATTGTTCCATTACTACTTCACCATTCAAAGCTATTGCAGCACTTATATTTTCACTCATAACCTGGAAGAAGTCACGAATACATGATGTATTTATCCTGTCACGTATTCAAATTAAGAATTCATCGTCTATCATTAAGAATCCAAGTTCTCACCTTATAAACGTTCAACATATCTAAATATATTCTTCCTAATTGTATCACGTACGGATGCCCGAGAGCTTTGCAAGCCCTAACATTTGTTTTTAAAATGCTACCAAGTTGTTTTACAGCTTCTTGGTCTTTTAACACATCTACGTTCTGAAAAAATAAAATGTTTTTAACGAACAAACCAAATTCGTTGCAACATACATTATCTCGTGTCTCTCTTACTTTAGATGCTTGACTTATGATATCGTCCCAAACTTGATTTGGTAGAAGCATATATTTTTCTATCAATTGTTCTTGAACTACTGTATCCGTCTGTGCACTTATCATATAACCAACTGCTTCGTAGAAGGTATGTACCTAGTCAAACCAAGATTTGGTATAAGAGCGTTTTTACATCAATTAAACTTTACAACAATTAACTTTGACTCCCATTTTAATTCCCTGTCTTACCTGTTGTGTTTGAAGGTCACAGATGATACTACTAACTGTAGAAAGAATTTCTTCGATAAACGGCACCGCTTCCCCTAATTGTACTGTCACGAAATGTCGCCTGCATTTCACTGCTATTTTTATAAACGTGTCACAGGCCATATCTTGCACACCATCATGCGTTTCTACAATGAATATTTATCAGTAATATGACAAACGATTGTTTAAAAGCAATGCCATTGCTTTTTGTAACTGCGGTTTCTAATAATAAAATGTTTTTACCATGCATAAATTCAAATAGTTTATTTACAACAGTCTTTAAAAACTTCCAGTGTGCTCTGAGAAATCTTGGGTATTGCCCAACTACATACATAATATTGCTAGCGATGATAGCTTTATTATCTTTGCCTTTTTTCTGTTCACAAAGACCAAGAAGGTCCTTGATCACAGTTACTAGAAAGCGTTTCTCATCTTCTTCGTGCATAGCACCCGAAATACTACCTATTGCCCAACATAACTAACAGAAGAATCACAGAAATTGTTAGTTTAATTGAATACTCGGAAAAACGAACTTGTCGCGACATTATAAAGATTACTCACTGCATTGAGATTCTTCCAAGACCATTCCGTACCATTTACTTGATTCTGTAACTTTTCTGTCATTATTCTATCTGTGTCCATATGATCAAGATGGGTCAGGTAGACGAGAGTTTCTCTCATATTCTTGTATAAATTAATTGAATCGGTATCCTTCATAAACTCTCTGACAACTTCTCCGTTTTCATTCTCTACAACAAGAACTTCTTCCGGTTTGGCCATTCTGCTGATCATAATGTACCGTACTTTTGTTAAAACTGGACAATAGAATAGTCTTCTAGGCGGCATCGTTATCGGTTTAGTCATAAATACTGGTGTCGGAGCCACGAATCTATATAAATCGATCGCTAATGAACTCCAATATTCCAAACAAATTTTAAATATTTCGACCTCCTCGACCTCGGAAATCAACAACAGGTAATGCAACGCCTTCAGCAGCATTTCGTTTAGCTGTTTCTTTTCTATAAATTGACCATGTTCCTTCAAACATGTACATAAAAATATAGCTAAATTTTGAATAAAATTTTGTTCCTGATCTTGACCAGCAGCATATGCATCGCGTATATTAGTATCGAGCGGTAGTATTTGCTCCAACTGTCTCATTACATTAACAAATAACATTACAAACACATCGTCGTATGTCGTTGCCGTGAGAGCAGCGATTTCGGTCAAGCATTTCAACGTGACATTTCTGAATATTGGTACATTTAAGAACTACAACAAAAGATAAACGTGATAAGCGTATGAGATATTGACAACTATGGATATTAAAAGAAGATTAAACAAATGATCAAATTACCTTGAATACTAAAGTGTTTATTAATTTCGTTTCGAAAATATATCCAAGCGGAATCCAATTTAAAAATTTTAAGAGAGTTTCTAACGTGACCAATACTAGTGGAATATTTTGCGAGTTGTCTAAAACATACTGACAAAGTTGAAAAATCTGGGAGAATTCACTACACATTGTGTCCTTTAAGTGTTTTGCTTTTGTTTGTGTCATTTGTCCACTAGAAAAGTCAAATACTTCTTCCGATAGTAACTTCAAAATTGTCATATTGTTTTGACAAAGACTTTCGTTTGTTTTGCTTGCCCCAACAATATCGCCGATAAAGGATTCCCAATTTTTTGGCCATTCTCGTTTTAAAACCTGCAAAGATAACACGATTCATTAATATAAAAACAAAAGTAACGGCTGCCTCTCCGCTTCTTAAGAAGAAATTTGTTCCCACTCACCTGAACTAAAATCATATTCAGTTTATTGAGGTATACTTTTTGTGTTTCCATCGTTTCTGGATCACTGCTCGTTTTTATAATAAGGCCTACAATATATTTTTTTATACCCTCACACTGATTTCGTGGTAATACTTTCCATCGTGTCTTTATTACTTGTTCCAATATTTGTAAAGCATAATACTTTGTTTGTTGGTTCTATATAAAAACAATTACATGCGTCGATAGAAAAGTCTTGCTATATTTTTTTTTAGCAAAGAATGAATTAGAATAATCTAGATTACCTGTGAATATTCTAGAATAGTATCTACACGTGTCCATGCATTTGGATGTTCCTTAAGTGTGGTTAATACTTCCTGCGCAAGCTTCTGTTGCTCGCCTATTCCATTATACATACAACCTACTACATTATCGAGAAGCGTTATGTCAAGCTTCTGATTAAAATCTAAAAGCTTGGATGCTTGTTCTGCCAAAGTTGTCATTGTTAATTGTAAACCGTTCAATTTTCATACACTCTATCTGAAAACAATGAAGATTTATGTAATAGATTAAGATTAAGTAGAACAAATCATAGGATGCACGGAAGTTACGATCGGATGTAAACATTAGAAAGTACCATATTTACAATGGTACAAAGCTGTTTCCAAAATAGAAACCGCCTGGGTAGACAACAATCTTGTGAAAATTTAATCAAACGAATGTTCTCATTGTTACATTCAACAAAACAGCCAACAGCATGAAAACGTACTGTGAACACTGATCTGTTACAAGTTACGTCGTTACGTTTAACAAACATTTGTATCGGAATCACTACGAATTTAATAGAAAAACAGGACACACGATAGGAATTCAGAAAAGGCAAGAGCGTCAACTAATATAATTGTTTTGCTTCTATAGATGAATCATTTTTTTGTCCTGGTCTCAGGATGGGGTTCGAGATTTTTGGGAAAAAACGGGCACGGTGTAAAGAACGAGACTAAACAGAAGCAATAATAAGCAAGGAAATCGTAGTTAACGTGTACGCGAGGGAGGTCACCGCACTGCGACCGTTCGACCTAACCTACATTTGACAATTGCAAACAAGGTTATGTACAGATCTATTGTGTGCGATGTTAGTAAATCGTGTGCGAATAGGTGTTTCACGTGGTACGTTTAATCGTGTGGAAAGAAACGACGGCGGCCGCATAAAAGTATCGTTAAACGGATCATCGGGATTCGTTGGTTTTTGTTGTCCGGGTGCACTTTACTCATTGCGTCGTTATCGGATGCATAAAAGTGTCGCGAACGACATTTCAACGTACCGCATCGACTCCCGCACGTGGATTCTCAATTCTTAAGTAAAAAAAACACACGTCTCGCACCAGCAATCACAATCTCTCGCAATAAATCACAAGCAGAAAAAGGCCAAACACACAACAACCGCTGATTCCCGCGCGCGACCAATTTCGTTCCTCGTTTCACACACTCTCTCGCTGTTCCTCACCGTCTCGTTCTCCCTTTCTCGCTCGCTCTCTCTCTCTCTCTCTCTCTCCCTTTCTCTCTCTATCTCTCGCACGTTCTCTAGCTCGCCTCTCCTGTCCCTGTGCTTCGTTTCTCCGACGATCGTCAGCGAGTGCTTCGCATGCATTCGTACGCGTAAATGTACGATACCCACCGAGGCCGTTCTTCGTCGTAACCCTCTTTTTTAAGTCTCATGCGTTGTTTCTTGTCGTTTCGACCGCGACTATCAATGAGAAACGTGAAAACTGATCACGTTACGCGCTCCTCAAACCCAACCTAAAGATTTTCGAAAATAATAACAAAATGGCTGAACACGTTACGCGGACCATTGCGGAGAAACGGACCATCTGATTGGTCCTAACGATTCATTTCAGCCAATCAGAAAAATTCTAGCGAATGTTACTAAAACGTCGCGAATTACGTCACGTGATGTCATGCAACACGTGTTCTCCATTTTGACTCGAAATCCGCTTAAACGTTTCGGTACAAATAAATATTTTCTATACGCGTTACTGATTCATAATGCGACGTTATCTCCTCATATAATCATTCGCCTTGTTCCTACTTTCTTGTTCTTTGGTTCCGTATCATCGATACGCCGGGAACCATGATAATATTCGTCGACGTTTATTTCGTCGCGATTAGCCAATTCTGAGACGAAGAATCTCTGCAATATACTATCCCGTTTGCAAACATGCGATATTTTTGAATCTATTAGCTATCCACCGAACATAAGTACATACACATATCAGTGATTAGATCAGCTTTGTCAACCATTGTCAACGAAAACGACTTACCATTTACGAGGTATTTACAACCTCGGACAGGTAGAATATTGAAAGCTGTGTTGTAGTAGTAGGAGGATTACTATTTATGTAATCGGTTAGACATGTCCTGTCAAATCAAAGGAATAGCTAATTTGATCAATATAAGTAACATTAAGGAAGTACTTTTTGGAGATTCTTCCAGAAGATGTAAGCTTCCAGACATTTCGATCTATCATCGTCTAAAAACGATAATATCGACAATATTCCAATTTTCTAGTTGACGTTTCGCAAAATGAGTTACCTCTGCAAGATTGTTTTATATCGTTGTCGTCGACGGGAGATGTTCTCGCCATGGCATATAATACGAAGATGATCATATTAATTTGTACGTATTGCTTCACACGTTCCATGCGTACAGTTTATTCGGAAACCACGTAACCAAATCAATGTACATTTTGTTTCTATGTCAGCAAGATGGGATTCTTTAGAGCCCGACGAGACAAAAAACAAATTCCATATGATATGGTATGGAGAAATAGCAAAGGAGCCGAAGTAAGTTTTTGTTACGATACCTATCGAGTTTGCTGCTTTTTTAACCGTACGAATTCGTTTGAAAATATGTCCATATATTGAAAGTGTTTTTTAGCGATTGGGTAACGTCTGTGATCTGTTTGCCATTATTATCTTTGGGTAAAGCCAGCGGTGGCTCTAATCCAGATTGGACATGTATTATAGTTGGTCTCAATTCTGGTTTTATTAAGTTTTACACAGAGGTAAGTCGTGTATAGCCTTCGAAGATATATTTCCAATTTACTTTACAGCGTTATTAAAGTATTTCAACATCGTTTAGACAGGTGCGCTATTATTAGGAGAGCAACTGCATAATGAACCGGTCATAGGATTAAAATGCCAGTCTTTTCGTTCGCCGAAACATGTAGGAGACGCTGGTATAACCGAAGAAGTTCATGTAATTTACAACAGCGTTTTGTGCGTGTTGCAAGGGTTCCCACTGTTTTCGACGCTCAGAGCATGCAGGAATCATTTAGCCAGAGGTACGATAGTAGAACCATGAAATATATTAAAATTGTATTTATCTTGTATCTATGTCGGTGTTTTATCGTTATAGTTAAAGCAAATTGCGACGACCTACCTCCTATCACAAATTTATCGTATAAGAAGTGGGGGTACAGAAGCCAGGATATCGTAAACGACTCCGAAGTAATTGGCACTACATCTGTAAATAGTTTCGATCATCTAATGACCGCTTCGATATGCGGTGGATATACAGCATCTTACAGATCTAGCGCACCCCAACATAATCTAGTAATTGCAACTGGCAAAAGACCATTTGCTGGTTTCCATTATGCGTTAGAAGGTGGTGCAGCCCCGGTGTTGTCCGATGTTGCAATAGCAATGGCCAACAAATTAGCGAATGCTATTGGAACTGCCGTTCCGTGAGTGTTGCATAATGTATTAATGTTATGCATTTAGTGTCAGGAGATATATATCACCCGTAAGAGTGCTGCTAATGTTCCTTGTATAATTCATAGCAGGCTTGGGTATTTTTTATTTGATATAAAATAGAAACTAATTAAATGATTTATAAAGCAACGAATCGATATAAATAATACCGAAGCCTGAATCATAGTGTAGTAAAATAACATTGTTGTCACACTCTGTCATGTGTTTGCTTTTAATTCATACAAAATTTGTTTTTCTCATGTTTTTTCTTTTAGTTGGCTTCCGCTCGGTTGGGGAAATTCGAAAAATCATGCTTCCCCCGAGGCACCCAAGACTAACGCTCACGAGCCAATCGAGCCAATGACTTGTAGATTTGGTCTGAGCGATATTACACGCGAGGGTTATTCGGTGGTGTCCAGCCCGAACAAATTATTATCCGTGATATCAGATGCAATGGGCAGGGTAATATTGATAGACAATAGACACGGTATAGCGGTAAGAATGTGGAAGGGATATCGCGATGCTCAATGTGGATGGATCGAAGTAGAAGAAGAGAAACATCCTGAAAAGAATAAAGCATTTACTAAATTTAAGCAAACTTCGCATTTACGTTCCGCGTTGTTTTTAGTTATTTATGCTCCTAAAAAGGGCGTAATAGATATATGGAGTACTCAACAAGGTCCTAAAATTACAACGTTCACTGCTAGCAAGCATGGAAGGTGGGTGGCGTCATTATAGTAAATAATATTTTCTTATTGTCGTCTGAGACGGAAAACATTGTATCTTTTTTATGCTTTTGTACAGATTACTTTATATCAATTATGGACTTCTTGGTACAAATGATAACGCACATTTGCCCAAGAACAAACCCCAATACTCGTGTGTTTTCATGGATCCATTAGGAGGCCTGAAAGAAATTACTGTCCCATTTCATTTCGCCCTTACCAGTCAAAATGGAAAGAGAGCACGCGATATACATCTCTTGAGAAAATTGAAGACATTCTTGCGCGAAGAAGAGTTCGATCATGAGAAATTAATATCAGTAATCAGCAGTATATGTGCAGACTTGAAGACTAATGAAATCAAAGTACAAACGATAGAAATGTTGATGATAAATAAACACATTATACCCGATGCTTTGCTCGCGGCTACAGATTGCTTTATTCAAAAATTTGATATACACGGTACATTGTTTTCTATTATTACATTTCTGTAAAAGTTTAAGACGATGTTGGGTATAGCTTGCTCGTTTCAGACAAAGAAGAAATGGAACCGACAGAGAAGACATTGTATCTATTAACAACGCAGTTGCAACAAGTGATTAAATTTTATAAACATATTCAGTCGCACTTCGATAGTCTAGAAGATCATAATCTTACCAACGACGACGATGTTAGCAGTAAAGAACTAGCGTCAATTTTATTAACTTCTGAAGTCGAAGTCCATAGGATTTATGAACTATCCGATATAATAAATAATTTTAAATGTTCAAGCCCTAGGGGGGAAACCAAAGTGAAGTTCAAAGAAAATGGGAGGATTTTCTTGAATTTCTTATCTTGCTTTGAGTTTGGACTTCTGGGATTGGTAAATGTTAAGAAGAACACAAAGCCAGAGAAGAAACTTCAAGTTTGTAAGCAATGTTCCTTGTCACGACAAATGTGTGTGTGTGTGTGTGTGTGTGTGTGTTACATTCGTTGTTGTTATAATTAAATGTTACCCTTTTCTTTTTTTTTCTTACATGTAATCTCTAGCACGGTTGATGTACGAAGGAAGTATTTATTCGAACGATAGCGTCGAAGCTTGGAAAGAAGCTGCAGTGAGCAGTAACATCCAGCCTTTTGCCTTACTGGAATTTGCGTTAATCCACTGGTTAAATAGAAAGAGAGAGATGCCTTTAGGACTGGAATTAAAACAATTTGTGCAGCTATTAAATGTTATTTGTTCGATGAACAGTAAGATTTGAACCGTTTAGGCCCGTTAACGCCTTAATATATAAATCCCAAATTGCTACCGTTATTGCAGCTTCTCTACTTACAGACGTTGAAGAAATATGTGGCGAAAACAATGAAGTATCTTCATGGTGGAGAAATGTCCGGACCATTCTCTCGGATTCCACGAACCCGTTCAATGCACTTACCGCTGCATTGGCATGTAGAGCAGTTGCTACGTCTTTGGAGAAATATAGGGAAAAGGGTGCTAGTAATATTGCAGACGATAGATGCAACGAAGGGAATGTCGATCAAAATAGGGGCGATTCGATGGATGTGGAGGAAGCACAAGATCCTGTGTCCGACATAAAGTTGAACGACGATGTATATAATTTAACGAGCGAATGGGAAAACGTTACTAAAGATAATTGTCAATTTACATTGTATATTGGAAATCTTGAGGACATTACAATTTTAGATGCAATCGTTAGGTGAGCAATGATCGT